AATCAACGCAATTCTGACACCACCCGTCAAATGAGTCTACCCCGTCAATTCTGACACCACCCGTCAAATGAGTCTACTCCGTCAATTCTGACACCAGTCGTCAAATGAATCTACCCCGTCAACTCTGATGTTACCCGTCATTTGTGTGTACTCCGTCAATTTAATAATATACATAATCTGTCATCAGTCATAACTGACAGATAAAACTTAACCTGACATTGATTAACGATTAATGAAACGTAATTATATTATTAACTAGAGAACCAATTACTATTTTATAACAAGTCTAATTTGCGTTTAATTTAAGTTGATCTCTGTCGTGTGATATATGCATACATGTCCCCTGTGTTGCTGAGATTTATATGACAGTCAGGTATGTAAAGTGACGTCACGCAGACATGTGCCATGGCGCCCATGTGTATGTATTTTGTGTATGAAGACGAACCGCTTTGGTATTCCTGTATCCAAATGGTGCAGTGCTTCGTAGGACTGTGACAAAATAGTGCATGCAGTGCCATACTCCTCAACATCAGTGACAATACCACGCCTATAATAACCGTGCCAGACTCAATCGCATAAAATTTAAGTTTTACGTGCAGAATATTTTGATGGTCTCAGTTATATTGCCACACTGAACCCGAATGTGAAAATGTAATGACACGTAAAATCGGGGCTGTGGTTCACTTTGAGTGGTTCAAGAGTTACCATATGTTTCCCTCCTGGGGTTTATATTTCTAAACCTGGCTCTGTATTTTCTTGCTCGTTACTATAATTTTTGTTTAGTTTTAATGTATAATGCTATTTCAATTCTTGTTGATATGCCACATCTGTTATTGACATTATGGTACATCTGCTCTTATTGACGTAACACCACTCTGGTTCTTGTTGACAAACTCCACACCTGCTCTCGTTGAAAATTCTACACCTGCTCTTGTTTCCATAACTAAAACTCCTGTTTTTCTCTTGGTGCTTTTTAATATTATGTGTTTACTCTCCTTCCTTTTTTATCATCAACTCATCCAATGCTAGTTTCTTTTAATGGAAGCTGCCAATCCGTTATAAATACGACGTATTACCAGCAAAGTAGAGCACCGTAATATTGATGATTTCTATCCATCAACCTCGAAGTGTTAGGTGGGATGCTTGGGTTCGTACCTATCCGGGTAGTCAAAACAGTTGCATTTCTTACGGAGTGGTAAAAGGAGAAAACTAGCTCCATTGTCATGCATGTTGCACACAAGTAACTCCAATTACAGCCCTGGGATAGCAGTTTGTAAATAAACAAATGATATCACAATGTAGTTTCCCACTTCAGTAGGGTTTGGGACATAATGTATGTATACATATACATACATATGCTGTATATATACATATACATACATCATATGATGTATGTATATGTATATATACAGCATATGTATGTATATGTATACAAACATCATATGTATATACATATACATATCCTACAACAAAATGTAAATAAATCTAGTAAATAAAAAAAACGAAAATACCTGATATTATGGTATTCATAATATCAGTGTGATAGTGCTAGGAAGTAGCACTAACACAGTGTTATGTGATAGTGCTACGAACACTATCACAATATAACACAATATAGATAGTTCTACGAACAGATAGTTCAATCAGGAGCTAGTTCTATATCATTTTACAGTCTCCGTGGTGTAGTGGTAAGACACTCGCCTGGCGTTCCGCGAGCGCTATGTCATGGGTTCGTATCCTGGCCGGGGAGGATTTACTGGGCGCAATTCCTTAATTGTAGCCTCTGTTTAACGCAACAGTAAAATGTGTACTTGGATGAAAAAACGATTCTTCGCGGCAGGGGATCGTATTCCAGGGACCATAGAATTAAGGACTTGCCCGAAACGCTACGCGTACTAGTGGTTGTACAAGAATGTAACAACTCTTGTATATATCTCAAAAAAAAAAAAAAATATGTTATTTTTTTTACTTCAATTCAACAGATTGTGTATATATTTTTTTGTTACAAAGAATAACAATAATGATATATTTCTCCTGTTAGCATGCATAATTTTTCCCTTGTGCAACAGCCAGTTCAAAAGAGGAAAATTTATAAGGTCATAAAAATTAATTGAATGGGTAATCTGGAATTCCTTTTCAATGAAAATTTAAAAATAAATCACTCCTAAATTTAAAATATATTTAAGAACTCGTAAAGATATAATATTTCAGTTCATGAGCTAAAACATCAAAACATCAAGTGTATTATGTAATGGGCTCCAATGTCCTAAGGGCTTTTGTGTTTTTGAATGTTTCATAACAGGGCCCAATATCCTAGTTTTGTATTTTGTATGTTTCATAATACGGCCCAAAGTCTTAGTTTTGTGTTCCGTATGGCTTATAATCAGTCCCATGTCCTTATTTCCCATTCTTTATAATCTATAATAGAGCTCAATATGCTTATAATTAGTTCGCGGTATTATTATTGATATATGCATAATAATTGTTATTATTCAAAGAAATCCCACTAACGTGAAACATCAATTAGAATATCACGTCAGTGCGATTTCTTTGTGTACGTGAAGGGAGCGAATGATTGATAAAGCCATTCTATACCTTCTGACTGGCTTCAGTAGGGTCCCTCCAGGCTTCCTGTGGATTCAGTGGAATCCCAAGTTGTGTAACGTTTTCCATGTCGTGGTACATCGTAAAGGTTCAATCAATGATCCAATCGATTCTAGGAATCATTAAGGCAAGAGCTTGTAGTGCAAAAATAAATTAGAAAATAATGTGTATATTTGTTTAGCTGACCATGATACATTAGGTAATTCCTGGCAGCTACATATCAATCAACAGAGATGACCTTTGTGCTGTTTTTATATGAAGCTTTGATGTGTTCTCTAATTAATTCCGGGGAATAAATGGGGGTGAAGGAGAACAGATAACTAGAAATGGAAAAGTTCAAGAGTAAGTGGTAAGTGAAGACATGGTAAGTGAAGAAACATATGAGTCCGAGTATTAGAATTTACCTTTTTTTTAGTGTTAGGGTAGTGAGGAAGTAGAGAGAGAGAGAGAGAGAGAGAGAGAGAGAGAGAGAGAGAGAGAGAGAGAGAGAGAGAGAGAGAGAGAGAGAGAGAGAGAGAGAGCGGACCAGAAAAATAGTTGAGATTGACTCCATTCGTGGGTTAGAAAGCACGTATGATGAAACCCAACAATGCTAATCGACTGTAAGATAAGCTGTGGGCCCAGAAGCTTAAGCTGGCATCCAAAAGCAAAAGTCAAAAGTTGCGACGTGAGGCGAATGAGGGACGTTTGAGACCCCAGCACGGACGGCAGGTCAAGCTGCCTCTGATCCTTCACAGTCCGTTTGTGTCTGGTCCAGAAGCTTTCAACTCAACCTTCGTGTGTGTTTGTGTGTGTGTAAGAGAGAGAGAGAGAGAGAGAGAGAGAGAGAGAGAGAGAGAGAGAGAGAGAGAGAGAGAGAGAGAGAGAGAGAGAGAGACTCACTAGGCATACACATACACAAGAACATAAAATGTTATGAACAGTTATACAATATATTAAACGCTTAGTTTCGTTAATGGTACTTAGTATTTTATTCCACTGGTCTATATTTCCAAACGTGTGTTGGCCAATATCCCTTTCAATTGTAATCTATCTATTTTAAATTTTAAATATTTCAAGTTCTTCTTTATGTTCCTCGTGTAAAAGTCCATCATACACCTGTAGACATCTGTTAGCTACGGTCTCCAAACCCATATTTATAAGACGAAAATGTACACAGCAAAACAAACAATGTAATACAGATACAGACACACACACACACACACACACACAGACGGTAAATCTAGCTTCACTACACATGTAACCACTCAATAACTGTGCCACCGAAAACATGCATAACAGGATAGACTGCACTTGTTGGGGCTGTCAGACAGTCTTCGACACAGTACACCAAAAGAGACTAATATACAAGTAGGAAAAGAGGCATGAGTTACAGGGAAAATTGCTTCAGTAGATTTGGAATAACTTTAACAACAGAAGACTAGGCACTGTGAGAGGAGAGCATTCAGTAACTACTTTTAAAAACCTTAAAACGGAATCTTTTTAGCCCTGTATAGCACATACGTCAGCCCACTTTTCGAATACTGTATATGACACTAGAGTGTTGTTTTGTCTGGTTAAACACAAGTTTTAACCTGAAGAATTCAAAGATATGCCACTAGACTAATACCAAAGATAAGAGTTATGAGCAATTAGGTGCGGATAAAGAAATTAAATCTCATATGCCTGGAAGGCAGAAAAAACTAGGGAAATCATGATTACCACATACAAAATAATTAAACGAATTAGCATGGCATAAAGGCACAGATTATTTAGAATGATTAGAACACGAACACATGGATGCATATAGAAGCAAAGTATCCAATTAAACCACAGAGTCATTAATATTTTTTTTTCAGTGTCAGAGTAGTGAACAAATGAAATATAATATAAAGGTGAAGTGGTGGAGACAGCCACCTTACACAACTTCAAAAGTAATTATGATAGATTCCAATAGGTTCTTGAACCTGTACATCAACTAATTGAAGGATGAGATGCGAAACCAAAGAGCAAAAGCCAATCTCCCTCAAGCACAGTTAAAGGGGTAAAGTCAGGAGAGCACACACACACACACACACACACACACACACACACACACACACACACACAAACATACATCTACACAAAACCAACATATATATACAAACATACAAAATATACCCACGAACATATTGACGAAGGAACTAAGGTGAACAATTTCAACACATCTTGTATGGGATCAACTCGACAAATGCGACGTCGATTTCTCTAATAACTTTCGACCATTCAAGTTAACCAAGAGCTTAGAAGGATTCCCTGACTCAAGCCTCACAACGATTACATCCTCGTCAGATTCCCAGCAATTTCTGCAGTGCAATTTCTTACAGAAGCGAGAACCTGGATAAGATCTTCCAGAAGCAAGAGCGTGGATTGGATCTTCAAGAAGCAAGAGCCAGAATTGTCTCTTCCAGAAGGTGTAGCCTGGATTTGATCTTCCAAAAGGTGTAGCCTGGATCGGGTCTTCCAGAAGGTGTAGCCTGGATTGGGTCTTCCAGAAGATGTGGCCTGGATTGGGTCTTCCACAAGTAGGAGCCTGAATTGGGTCTTCCACAAGTAGGAGCCTGAATTGGGTCTTCCACAAGTAGGAGCCTGAATTGGGTCTTCCACAAGTAGGAGCCTGAATTGGGTCTTCCACAAGTAGGAGCCTGAATTGGGTCTTCCACAAGTAGGAGCCTGAATTGGGTCTTCCACAAGTAGGAGCCTGAATTGGGTCTTCCACAAGTAGGAGCCTGAATTGGGTCTTCCACAAGTAGGAGCCTGAATTGGGTCTTCCACAAGTAGGAGCCTGAATTGGGTCTTCTACAAGTAGGAGCCTGAATTGGGTCTTCCACAGCAAGTGTCTTGATAAAAGACTGATTCTCCAAAAGCATGAGCTTGGACTGAATCTTCCAGAGACAAAGGGATTAAATTTTCATCGGGGGAAAACCGACAATTTTGCTCAAATTGCCGATAACATCTGGTACATGTCAGCTAATCTCCTGATTAGCTGATCTTCTGATACAATTTGGAATGGTGGTTATTCTAGTGATGGTGATTGTTGTTGTGGTGGTGTCGCTGTTGGTGGATTTATAGTGCTTACCTTACCTATCACTGCCTACCTATCAGTGACTAAGGTAAAGTGAGGTATAGCTCTTGATTCCTCGCCTACTACCTTTGAAATATCTACTGTGTTATAATTTTAACATTCACGACAATTTCCTTCAGTGTATTTTACTTGTTGACTGCTCGGAGAGGTTACTAGCATTTCGTTATTTCCACCTATGTTTTCTACTTTCTCTCACTGTTAATTTGCTATTCATATCCGTCTTGTTTCTTCGCCTCGGTATCTTGTATGTAGTGATCATATGCCCCTTCTCTTGGGCTGTGAAATCGACTTAGTGTCCTCGTAGATTAAACCCCTCAGCTCTGGCACTTTATTATATTGCAAACTAGTGCACTTTTTCAGACTTGTTGCTGCACTTCACTGAATGTGGGCTTCTGGCCGGCGCTCTCATTCTAGTCTTATAAGCGGTGGTGGTATGTGGTATGTTGGTGATGGTTGTTGTGGTGTAATGAAGCATGTGGGGTCTGTGGTGGTCGTGTGTGGTGTTTGTAGTGGTATTATAGAATGTGGTGGAGATATGTGGTGTTTGTGGTGATGATATGGTGATTTGTGGTGGTAATGTTGGTTGTGGTGGCAGTAATGTTGATGGTTGTGGTGACGTAGTGGTGGTGGTTCTGGTGGCCAAGGCATCTTTAACACTCCCCCCCCCCAACCCCCAACTCCGCACCGTGTTATGCTCTCATGGAGCGAGGATGGTTGTGGACGGTTGTGGGTTGAGGAGGAGGAAGGACTGTGTAGGGGAGATGAGAGTGAGGGATACAGGAAAGGGGAGAGAGAGAGAGAGAGAGAGAGAGAGAGAGAGAGAGAGAGAGAGAGAGAGAGAGAGAGAGAGAGAGAGAGAGAGAGAGAGAGGGGGGGGGGTAGTGTGATAAGGGTAGCTATTGGGAAATGGGTGAACTGAGATAAAGAGATGGGGAGGGGGAAAAAAGGGTGGAAGGGTGTACAGGGAACAGCAATAATTACTATTATACTGACAAATTAACATATATATATTACTTCTGTTACTGTCATTGTTACTTAGTACTGCTATTAGTATTACTAATATAAATAGTACTAAAAGTACTGGCAACTTCCTTCGTATAATTATGTCTCGTCAACTTGCCTTAACAATTCGACAGATTCTCCAATTTCCTGTCTATGTATATAGAAACATCTCTTCCTGTGTTGAGATTGGTTGACTTGTGAATACAACATTCAGTTCCTATCAGATTTGATTGGTAAGTATGTGAATAGATTAAAACACGAAGATGAACATTTCAACATGGCTTCAAACACATATATGTTATTCTTTACAAAGATTAAAACATTTACAGAAAACTAATTAAATTTTCTGGATAAATATTTAACTTTTATCAATTTGTAAATGAGATATTAGCTTTAAAAATCACTTGGCTAGTCTTTTGATTTGCGTTAGAAAGTTCGTCTTGCTAGATAAACTAAAATCGTTTAATCCAGACTCGCCAGAAAATTTACGAAACAGGGAGGAGCTGACAGATAATATCGCGATTCGCAGTTGATTGTGTTATCTCTCGCGCCAGAGACACGAGCGGGGATAAAATGATTAAGTACTTGTCAATCAAGGTACGAGACGAGCCTCTGTGGGTTGTGAGCTGTCAGTACTGTGGATAGTATTCACAGACACACACACACACACACACACACACACACACACACACACACACACACACACACACACACACACACACACACACACACACACGTGAGAGTAGTGGGAAAATGGAATGCACTTCAGGAACAGGTTGTGGAAGCAAATACTGTTCATAATTTTAAAACCAGGTATGATAGGGAAATGGGACAGGAGTCATTGCTGTAAACAACCGATGCTCGAAAGGCGGGATCCAAGAGTCAATGCTCGATCCTGCAGACACAACTAGGTGAGTACAACTAGGTGAGTACACACACACACACACAGGTGTGTGTGACAGAAGTGGATGGGTGACAGAAGTGACAGGATGTGGAGACAGAAGAGTTAGAGAGGATATGATCACCACATACAAGATTCACAGAGAAATTGATAGGGTAGATAAAAACAGACTATTTGACACAAGGGGCACACGCACTAGAGGACACAGGTGGAAATTGAGAGCCAAAATGAGCCATAGAAACATTAGAAGGAATTTTTTCAGTGTCAGAGTAGTAGATAAGTGGAATGCATTAGGAATTGATGTGGTGGAGGCTGACTCCATACACAGTTTCAAGTGTAGATATGATAGAGCCCAATGGGCTCAGGAACCTGTATATTAGTTGATTGACAGTTGAGAGGCGGGACCAAAGAGCCAGAGCTCAACCCCTGCAAGCACAACTAGGTAAGTGTAACTAGGTAAGTACAGGTGAAAAATGAGTACCCATATGAGCCACAGGGACGTTAGAAATAATTTTTTCAGCGTCAGAGTAGTTAACAGATGAAATGCATTAGACAGTGATGTGGTGGAGGCTGACTCCATACACAGTTTCAAGTGTAGATATGATAGAGCCCAATAGGCTCCAGAATCTGGACACCAGTAGACTGACGGTTGAGAGGCGGGACCAAAGAACCGAAGCTCAACCCCTGCAAGCACAACAAGGTGAGTACACATACACACACACACACACAAACTCGAGTGGATAGCGTTTGCGACTCACAATCTATGGACACGGGTTCGATTCTCTGCCGAGGCAAACACAAATTAGCAGAGTTTCTTTTCCATGATGCATATGTTAACATAGCAGTTAATAGGTACCTGGAAGTTAGGCAGTTGTGATGAACTGCATCCTGGGGATGTGTGTGCATCTGTGCATTTACCTAGTTGTGTTTGCAGGTGTTGAGCTCTGGTTCTATGGTCTCTCAACTGTCAATCAACACTTTGCGTGTGTTTGTGTGTTAGTGTGTGTGAAACATATTTAATAGGAATGATAAACATCAAGTTCGAAACTCAGTATATTAAATATTCGAGGCTTAGAAAGGCGGGGTTCAAGAGCTAACACCTCCAACGTGAAAGCACAAATAACACATTCACCAACACCTTTAAAGCATGGATCTGAAGTTTGGACTTAAATTAAGAAACTCAAATGAGGGTTTCTCATACTTAAAAACACTAAAAGATTTCACAAAAGATCAAAACTGCTAAATTTGCCACAAATTGGTATATAGAAAGTAAAAGAGGAAACATGATCACTTTGTACAAAATTATGTAAATAACGAACTTACCCATATGAGTGGTCTTTGGATTGACCCTTGTTCTTAAGAAATTAATCCCATTTGTTTTATGTGGATCAGGAATACTCATCCTAACAGTACCCAACAAACCCATCCTAACATGCAATACTTATCCTCGCACAACAATACTAACCTGAAGCAAAAAATTACTTAGCTTAAAAGCAACAATTACACATCTTCACTCAAGTTCTATCTTAACCCAACAGCTACTAATTGTTAATTCAACAGTATTATTTACATCATTACAATACACGTTACAGTATTACACACAGAAATCACAATTGCGTGATGCATCAAATAAACAAATCCACAAGGGCCTTGACGAGGATTCGAACCTGCGTCCGAGAGATTTCTGTCTGATTTCTGTGTGTATTGAAGTAAGGGCAAAGAGGGAGAACGGCCTATTGACATAGCTCGAGTGCATGGGGGGGGGGGGGAGTTGTGTAAAACCCTGGTTTGTGCCTCGGAGAGGCTGCAGGATCCAATAAGTTCAGTAGAACTTCCGTTTCAACTCCTTCTTTTGACCATGTCGTAGCTCAGTCGATTAAGGCAGCGTCTGGGATGCTCTCGAACGCAGGTTGGAATCCTAGTCACGGCCCTTGTGGATTTGTTCACGTTACCGTATTGTAATATGGCCTGACGGCTGAGTGAACAGCGCTCGGGGTTCGTAGTCCAAAGGGTCTGAGTTCGATACCCCGCGAAGGCGGAAACAAATGGGCAGAATTTATTTCACCCCTGATGTACATGTTCACCTAGCAGTAACTAGGTACCTGGGAGTTAGACAGCTGCTACGGGCTGCTTCCTGAGTCTATGTGTGTGTGTGTGTGTAAACATTAGGATTAAGGACCTGCCCGAAACACTATGCGTGCTAGTGGCTGTACAAGAATGCAAGAACTTTTGTATATTAAAATAAATATACATGGTTATGACCTACTTCTTCCCCAACTACAATCTAATCTATCGAATATCACATAAATAAGCCAAACAAAAAAATACGAAAATACCATTGCTTGAATGACATTTGAAACCAAAAATGAGTAAGTTGATTGAAGCTCCTGTGAAAACATCCTCGTTAATTTAATGTGGCAGTGGTTATTGTGCTTGATATACCCAGCAGTGATGGACTCTGTACAGCGGACTCGTGTAGAGTTTATAGAGTCTAGTAGAGTGTAGACTCACTCTTAGTGCAGTCTTTATATCGGGCTTTGTGGACTGCCAAGGGCTATGAAGGTTAAATAATGGACTCGTGAAGAGAATTTCCTAAATATTAAATCACACCTTGGACTTCAAACCACACCTCGGACTCTGCAGGTAAGACCTATTATTAATCCTTTATTCCAAACCCAATTTTAATTTAGTATACACAAATAATTATTATTGTATTGATAGCATTTAATATTATTGTGTTAACATATTATACAAATTTTACACAGTGTTGATTTTTATAAACGTGTTCTCATTGCTTCGGATCAGTTTATAACTGTTGAATGTAGTAAATCTATAGTTTTTCCTCTAATGATTACACAGCAGGATATCCGCTATTGGTTAAA